TTATATTCTGCAGTTCTTCCCTGTTGTACCGAATATCTATACTTTTCAAATTATCATATCGAAGTTAGAAATTCAAATATTGTGACAAAATTAATTTTGTAGGGTGCCACAAGTTTGTTAAAATTTCCAAAGGGTGCCGCGACTAAAGAAAGGTTGGGAAACACTGGTCTAGCTAATCACTCTCCACAAGGAGCATATTGCCATATGCATTCAATTTCTCTTTTTCTCTTTCTGAGTGTAGAATGCATCCAAATATGCAGAACACAGCTATAGAAACTATATGATGATAAAATTGCACTTAAAATTTTTACCTGGTGCAATGACCAAATATTTAACATATAAACATATAAAGTTAACATATTACACTTATGATTACTTATTTAAAACCTAAACGAATTAAAATGTTATAAACAATTGTCATTTTAAAGGGGTCATATGATGCTGCTAAAAAGAACATTATTTTGTGTATTTGGTGTAATGAAATGTTTATGCGGTTTAAGGTTAAAAAAACATTAGTTTCCACTTACTGGCCTTATATTTAGAGGTGAATGCTAAACTCTTTTCACACTACTTGTCATTTGAGGTGATAAAAGAAGGCATCTAAAAGCAGGGTCTAGATTTGATAGCTCTTTCAATGGCTATTTTATCTACCTGTAAAAGGCAAATGAAAAGCAATCAGCTTCCCAGCATGTCATCAGTGCCACCCTGTGTCAAAAATCCCTCAGTCCAGGGAATAAAATCTCATGATGGACACAGCAAATCACCAGCTGTCCTGTGGTCAGTTCATGCTCCTCTCATTTATCTGAACAATTCACACAAGCAGTGGGCTCGAGACATACATTAGGAAGGAATCTTTCCTTTAACATGGAAGGATTATTCATGGCTAACGTGCTTATCCGTGGCCAGAATATCCAGGCGTCTGCAGAATGATGTTCCTTTTTGGACATAATGGAAAATCATTTCTTTAGACTTTAGTCATTCTCATGCACTTTGCATTTTTACCAAATCACAATAGTTGGAAGGGTGGATTATCTTAGTATTATTTAGTTTCTTTTCTGCATTGTAAATAATCCAGTTCTTCATTCATACATCGGTTTATGATTAAAACAAAAAACAGCTGTTAATAGAGGAAAATGTTATTTTTGAGAATTTAACACATCTTCTATATATTTCTAAATTGCTATGCCATACTTGCATTTGTAACACCTGTGCAGATAAAAGGGAAAACATAATCAATTGTCAAAGCAACCAGGAAATAATACTTTTTAATGTTTTTTAAAGAAGTCTCTTGCTCACAGAGGCTGCATTCATTTGATGGAAAATGCATTAAAAACAGTAATATAGTGAAATATTACAATTTAAAGTAACTGTTTTCCCTTTGAATATATTTTAAAATATAGGCCTAATTCATTCTTTTCATTCAAAGCTGAATTTTCCTCATCATTTTCAGCATCAGCATCTTCAGTGTCAAATGATCCTTCACCCTAATATGCTGATTTGCTGCTAAATTATTAATATTGTTAATTATTATTACATTATTAATTATTATTATTAATATTGAAACATTTTGATATTGCTGCATTTTTTCCAGGGTTCTTTGATGAATAGAAATTATTTATTTGAAAGTAAAATCTTTTGTATAACATTATCAATGTTGCAAATGCTTCGGTATTCTTCTGGGTGTAAATGGGTATTTTGACATTAAATACTTGACATTTTATTCATTCATTTTATATAAGTGTAATGTTTGTACTTCATTCTTAAAAATTGATTCACTCTGCAGGAGCATGTGAAATTCACTGGCCAAAGCAAGAAGGTGATTCAAAGAAAAGTGGTTGCAAAGGAAATGGTTGTGGCTTCTACAATACACATTTCCCCTTATGCATTCATATAGCATATGATTACATTGTTGATTACAAATAAAATTCATGGACATGTTATGCCTATGACAGCTTTTGTTGTAAATAATCTGTCAGCACCAAGGACAGAGTTCACTTAATAGTGTCCTCCTCGTGTGTGTGTGTGTGTGTGTGTGTGTGTGTGTGTGTGTGTGTGTGTGTGTGTGTGTGTGTGTGTGTGTGTGTGTGTGTGTATGTACTTGTTTATGCTACACTGAGGGGACCAAATGTCTCCACAAGGATAGTAAAACCTGAAATTTTTGACATTGTGGGAACTGGACTGTGGTCTCCACGAGGGGAAAAAATGAATTATGTTTATCTGAAAGTGTAGCAATGCAAACGGGTTTTACTTAAGGGGTAGGTTTAGGGGATAGAAAATATCGTTTGGTCAGCATTAACGGAATAGAAGTCTATGGAAATCCCCACAATTCACAGAAACAAACGTGTGTGTGTGTGTGTTTTGAGAGAGCGGCTTACCTAAACTTTTATAGGCAGCTTTAAAGTCATTTTCATTTCATTGAGTCTCTCTTTTTGCAGAAGTCACTCTTTCTGGTGTCGTTGTCGCTCACGCGCTGATTGGGCACGAGAACTCGCTGCAAAGCTTTCTTTGAAACTCTCAAGAGAGTCGTTCTCACACACTTCAGTTTCGGTGGCCAAAAAAATAATAATAATTCTGCTTTTTAAACACCGCTGCACATCTCACCTCACCTCACCAGAGGAAGAACCCTCTCCGTCCACAGATGATTTCAACATACTTTCAGGCGTTCTAGCAACTTTTTAAAAATTCTGTGACGCAAAGCAGCAAATAAACTCGAGGAACATGATGAAGCAGTCCATGGAGCGCATCAAGAGACCAATGAACGCGTTCATGGTCTGGTCGCGAGGTCAGAGAAGACAGATGGCACTGGAGAACCCAAAGATGCACAACTCTGAGATCAGCAAGAGACTCGGCGCCGAGTGGAAGCTGCTCTCGGAGTCTGAAAAAAGACCTTACATCGACGAGGCCAAAAGACTACGCGCCCAACACATGAGAGAGCATCCCGACTACAAATACCGACCGAGACGCAAACCTAAAGGACTGCTGAGGAAGGACACGCTGTTGACTTTACCGCGTCACGGCGAGCGAGAACTTCGAGCCATCTCAAATCTGGACAAACATCGACCCCTTCATTTAGCTGCGTCCATGCAACATCCTTTCATGGAGCCGAGCCGGCCAACTGTTAGCACTGCTACCACTGCTTTTCAACATGAAAAACTTGCTTTAACCCCGGGCTCGTTGGCTTTCTCTTCAGCTTTTGGCTATCAGAGTGGACCCCGGTCCTTCGGGAGTCTGGGATGCTCGGGTCAGTACGCGCACACTCACCTGTCACCTGCAAACCCCGGATACCTGCTGCCCTGTAACTGTTCGCCCTGGTCTTCTTCCAGTCTCACACCTCCACTTGCCTATATAGTGTTTCCAGGTATGAGCAAGACTGCGGTCAGCTCTACAGCGCTGTGACTCAGTCATTCAAATGTCATTAGTATCGCGGAAAGTTCCGATTGGTCTTTTCTCAGATGTTTATTAAAATACGTTGAACTATTATTGTTAATAATAATTTTATTTGTTTGTTTGTTTGTATGTACTACGGGATATTTGTTTTCGCATTGTTATAAAGCCCATTTGCTAGGCTATTATTGTAATAATGATAAATGTTAACTTACTGCTCAGAGCCAAAGACAATTTTTAACACAATCAAATGCAAGACACTGAGTTGTGATTTGAATAGTCTTTGTATATTGACATCTTTACTTGAAAATGTGTTTATAAATGGAGCGTATAACTCTTTCAAAGGCATTTTCTACATGCTAAATAGCCAAAAACAACACACACACACACACGTTACATTATGATGTTAGTACTTTATAATATGACCTGCTGATTTGTATAGTGTCCAGTGTCTGTAGGTAGCCTATTAGCAGTACTACAGCATGCGCATTTGAAATAAAACACTTGTTTATTCAAAATAACCTGTCAACGTAACGTATAGGCTACACAATATTTTAATATTACACAACATAACCGAATTTTTTACTTACATGTAATTTGACCTAACTAAAAAGTCGCAGTATTTGACCTTTGATAATTGCTCATATTTGACATTAGTCTTATGATTCATCCACAGGCTGTTATATGAAACATCTCTTGACCGCATTCAAAAGCTGTGACTGAAATCCTTGAGGCAAAACACATTGTATCATTAACTTTTCAATTGTAAACAAATTGTCAATTGTCTGGTAAATGCTTGTCTGTTCTGTTTTCCATAATAAAGGCATATTTTAGCTAGCATTCCCTGGTTTCAAAAAGTGCATTATCTTTGTGCTTTTGCCATCGTTTTCTTTCCCATATCCTGAAATCTTTTTCATGTTATTTCATCTTTTTGTCATTTATCTGTCCAATGTAATATATTTATATTGATGTTCTAATTACAAATATGGGTTGCAAATCAGGGTTGAATATTTAGCCCAATTAAAGCTCTATGGCTTTCCACAATTCCATTTTTTATCTATCTATCTAATTTATTTATTTAAGCCAATTCTATATAGCTCATATATAGCCTTTAGTTCATCTGACATTTGTAATTTCTCGCTAAAGCACTATACACACACACACACACATACACACGGTTTCTACAGAAACCGCAGATTATGTCTGGAACACATCCAAATGATTATCTACAATAAACAAGCTACAGCTGCATGATATCATGCACAATCATAAAGGTGTTCTTTGTTATTTTTTCATAATTTATTGGATGATGTACAGTACTATACATCTGATCACATGCACCTTAATGCAATTAAATGCTATAATATTTTTGAATCCTTGCTCATTCCACAATGGCTCACGTTTTCTTGGCTGTCCTCACAAATGTCATTAATTACTCATTGTTATCAGACTCTTTTCATCATCTGCTGATTCTTCATGCATCAGTAATTGTCAAGTATTGAGCAGAGGTACAATCAGAGGTGAAGAAAAGGCAAAGACAAGACTTTGTCTAGAGTGAAATGTTTACTCACTAAGTCAAAATGATGCAATAATTAGGTGTGCATTGTAAGGCCTGTCTGAACTGTTCTTAGATATTACACATCAAGTGACTTCAGGAATAATTTGCGTTAGTGCTCAGAGAGATGGCAGTTATGGTGACTCCTTTTATATTTTTGCTGAAAGTAGGTGGAACTATGACAACGCAATGCTTTTCAAGCATCACTTCATGAGTGTGCATGTGAGCCTTCACACTATAAAAAGCAGTCTCACCCTGTCCAGCCTCAGTCAACCTCGACACTTGTCACCACCAACTTCACCAAATCCTAGATGAGAAACGAAGACAGAAGCAGAATGAGTGCCACAGCGCTGCAGACCACAGGTTTTGTATCAGGTGCCATCGGTACGGTTGGAGTTCTTGCTGCCACGGTTATGGATGTGTGGTGCACCGAAGACCAGCAGGAGCACAAGGCAACCTCCATCCACCATTATAAGGGCCTGTGGAAGGACTGCGAGGTGTCCCAGACTGGACTCACCGAGTGCCAACCTCTCTACAGCTACCTGAGCTACTCAAGTAGGTTAACATAATGTGATTTTCGGTGTACAAACCCAATAATGACATCCTATTCCTTCAAGTCTATTTCTGAACCTAAAGTTGGAAATTTGTGCTGGAAATGATATTTTTTCACTAAACATTTCTAACATTTCTAGTCTAAAAATACTGGTATATAAAAAGTTTTTCCATGTCTCTGAGGAGATGTTGTCATCTGATCATGTCCATTCTTAAAGGGACAGTTCACCCAAAAATGAAAATTCTGTCATCATTTACTCACCATCATTGTATGGAACACAAAAGATATTTAAAAATGTTAGTAACCAAACAGTTTTGATTCCCATTGACTTCCATTATATTTTGTAACCACATAATCAAAGTCAATGGGAACCAAAATGTCAAAATATCTTCTTTTGTGTTCCACAGAAAAAAAAAAGAAAGTCATGCAGGTTTGTAAAACAAAAAGCATTGATTCAAAAGCATTAATATTATATATCTAATGTTCTGCTTTCTTTTCCCTGTATTTTTTCAGGAATCCTTCAGGCTATAAGAGCTATGATGATAGTGGCGATTTTAGTAGGTGTGATTGCAGTGTTCATCGCATTCTTCTGCCTAAAGTGCCTCAATATGAGAAGCATGGATCTACTGACCAAGGGCAAACTGGTGCTAAGTGCAGGGATTTTGTTTATCATTGCTGGTAAACAAAAGCTTATTATTACTCAGTATCTAAACTAAACCCCACTGATCTTTCAATTTGTACCTATTATGTTTACAACCTTTTATTGTAACAATAATTCCCAATATAATACACATGGTCCACAAAATCTTTGTTCTTTTCAGGCATTTTTGATATTTCTGGATCATCAGTATATGCTGATCAAATAGTGCCTAGTTTCATGATGCAATACCAGACCCAATACAATCAAAGGCAAGGAGAGAAGGGAGGAATAAAAGTCATGCAGGTTTGTAATGACACGAGAGTGAATAAATGGCAGATTTTTCCTTTTTGGGTGAATTAAAACAAAAAGCATTGATTCAAAAGCATTAATATTCTATATCTAATGTTCTGCTTTCTTTTCCCTGTATTTTTTCAGGAATCCTTCAGGCTATAAGAGCTATGATGATAGTGGCGATTTTAGTAGGTGTGATTGCAGTGTTCATCGGATTCTTCTGCCTAAAGTGCCTCAATATGAGAAGCATGGATCTACTGACCAAGGGCAAACTGGTGCTAAGTGCAGGGATTTTGTTTATCATTGCTGGTAAACAAAAGCTTATTATTACTCAGTATCTAAACTAAACCCCACTGATCTTTCAATTTGTACCTATTATGTTTACAACCTTTTATTGTAACAATAATTCCCAATATAATACACATGGTCCACAAAATCTTTGTTCTTTTCAGGCATTTTTGATATTTCTGGATCATCAGTATATGCTGATCAAATAGTGCCTAGTTTCATGATGCAATACCAGACCCAATACAATCAAAGGCAAGGAGAGAAGGGAGGAATACATTGTGGGAATGGCATGGGCACGGGCACTGGCGGAATTGATTCATTTGCTTCCAGGTAAGATGAAAAAAATGATTTTCACTCACATATGATTCACAGGTGTCTGTTAAGTGCTGAACGCATAACTTCCTGTTATCTCTATCTTTGTTTTGAATGGTCAGGTACACATTTGGTCCTGCCCTCTATGTAGCCTGGGTAGGTGGAGCTTTGTTACTTTTGGGAGGAACTTTGAAATGCATCGCATTCAATACAATGCAAACGTAAGTTTCATTCCAACATTGACCTTCTATCTATCTATCTATCTAGATGTTCTGTGACACATATTAGGTTGATGGGTTGTAAGCTAACTAGCATGTTCTAAGCAAGGAGAGAAGGGAGGAATACATTGTGGGAATGGCATGGGCACGGGCACGGGCACGGGCACTGGCGGAATTGATTCATTTGCTTCCAGGTAAGATGAAAAAAATGATTTTCACTCACATATGATTCACAGGTGTCTGTTAAGTGCTGAACGCATAACTTCCTGTTATCTCTATCTTTGTTTTGAATGGTCAGGTACACATTTGGTCCTGCCCTCTATGTAGCCTGGGTAGGTGGAGCTTTGTTACTTTTGGGAGGAACTTTGAAATGCATCGCATTCAATACAATGCAAACGTAAGTTTCATTCCAACATTGACCTTCTATCTATCTATCTATCTAGATGTTCTGTGACACATATTAGGTTGATGGGTTGTAAGCTAACTAGCATGTTCTATTTTAGCAACACTGATACAAGAGACGGCTATATTTACAATGCCACATCCCATCGCAGTGGGGCAGATGAAGACTGTCGCCTCCAGAGAATGAGAGGAGAACAACAACAAATTTAATCAAAGAAAAAAAAAAATTCTTGTCAGACCTATGTAATGCCTTGCACTGATGAACTGAAGTAATCTTTTTGAATGCTGAAGGTATTTGTAGTTAAAATGTGTTAAGTGATTTGTAATGACTCTATTGAAAAGTCTTGATTGTATAAGGGTGAATTGGCCAGATAAGGTGTGTGACACGGGGACACAGGGAGTGTCACATATGCTTAAGATTCAGTAGCTAATCATTGTAAATAATTGGCTGTTTAAAATTATAATAAACTTTTGCAACAAATATAATTGACATGATGCAGCTGATTTGCTTGGTTGAGCCCAAAACATTTTCTTCAATTAACAGAGGATGGAGAAGAGAGGGGGGGAAAAAAGAGTCAAACTAATTGCTGATTTTCTAGAAGGTTGTTATTTTATTGAATATTTTTTAAGGCAGAAATAAACATCTTAAATTGTATTACAGCTATGTAGATATCATAACATAGACATGTATTTTTATATAAAGCTAATTCAAACTAACCCTAACCCAACTGCTAAAAGAACACCGTCTTAAAAATGTGATATTTACAGAGTAATTTTCCAATATCGCTAAAATATTAAATCTTAAAAGACAGTTCAGCCTCCAAAATCGATAGAAAGCTCTTTGCCAACATATAACTTTTCTTTTTGTAATTCACATTCAACATTAAACCAAGAACATCCTTACACAACATAGTGTTAAATGTGTCAGGAATCCTCTACAACAACTCTAAAAAAGACCATCGAACATACCCAGAAAAACACTGGTCTCATTGCAGATGTCCTTTGTGTGATCCCTGTAATTATTAAACAATGTTAACACACAGTAAATCTGTAATATGATAATTAAAGTTAATTATTTCTTAAAATACCTGCTAACAGGTGTGTTTTCCATCAAAGCTGCATCTGTCCATGTGACAAAATCAAATCTTCTTTGGACTGAAGGTGTTTTGGCTTGACTCTGGTTTGAAAGGGACTTCATTCTCATTTCTGAGCACACTGGCTGTGAGATGATTAATAAAACCAGCAAATAGTGACTCAAACACAATTACTGCGATCTTTTCTAGTCCATACAAAAATACATGGTACCATATTCTTCTTGAACAATTTGGGGGAAATGTTAAAAAAGTAATTATGTATGCTTACAGTTTGAGAGGTAGCAGTCATTGGTTGGATCCTGAAAAATAAATATATAAATAAATACATACATAAATAAAATATATGTATATGTGTGTGTGTGTTTCTTTCTGAGGCATTTGGCCAAAATCAAAGGATAGTTCAACAGATATTATAAATTACATAGATACAGTTACTTATTACACCCACAGGACCCTAGCATAACTGCTCTTAAATTCCTATTAAACATGCTTTTAATCAGTGGGAAGTGGATGACTTTCCGGGTGATTTGAAAAATGCCCCACAACATCAACGCAAGTTGTACTGAAACACATTTGAATGAAGAGGGGGTTACCTTTGTGGCAAGACAGGACTTGTAGTTCCTTGTATGATTTGGGATGTACATTGTGAGGCTGAAGCCAAACCTCCTAATGCACAAAAATACCCACAAACTTTTAGTATTTAAAATTAAACTATTTGACCAAGATCGAACATCCAAAGATACATTACAAATTGCAAAAAGAAGACTATAAAATGAACCTAACAAACCAGCATTTGAAGGTTGACCATGGTCTGTCATGGGGTCACATAGTTTGGAATCACAGCACACCTCACTAGCTTCAACCAGGTTACCTTCATCAAAATCATCCCAATCATTTACTCCCAGGTCAAAGGTCACATCAAGAGAACCAGACCAGAGGTGATCAAAGTCAGCACTGTGCTCTGGGTTTGCATGGGCAGTATAAACAATGGCTTTATTAGCACTTATTCTGTTCATCTGTCCATCGTTGCATGGCTTGAGTTGACTGTGAATCAAAACCCCTGAAAAGATGATGTGTAACAGATTATTTCAGTTTTATGTGAGGAAAACTGCTTTGCTATTATTGCTAATATGAACAATATATAGCAAGCATCAGATGCTCTAAAAACATACTTTGAGGTAAAGCCAAAGGTTGAGACTGTTCTAATGCTGGGTCAGCAATTTCAGAATAAAAGTCTCCCGGCTCATCATTGTAACCTGTAGATAGTTTGACAATTGATACGTCAGACTTCTAAGAGCTCTTAATACAAAACTTCTCATTTAAACGATGTACTAAAAAGAGTAAAACTAAAATGAGTAAAATAACAATCTAAGAACCTCATAGACATAAGTAAAATTAAACCAGAAAATCTAAAAACAAAAAATTCTAACTATTAATAAAAATGATAATAGTATCTCAATGATAAAACGTGACCTGTGCTGGCAAAATGAGTCACAATGAGCACATTTTCAAAAATTTGTTATTTTATTTTCTCCATTAAAAGACCTTCAAAATGATGTATGATTTGTTGGAATCGGACGAAAAATGACTGAAATACACCCGTTTAAAGTCGAGTCAGCAAAGTTAGTTTTGAGAAAAATCGAGTTTAAGTTTTCTGAAGGTTCCAAAGTAAAATCACCTAGCAACATTGATACTTTACCTCCAGTTCTTTTCTTAATAATAATTTGCAATTTCAGAATAAAAGTCTCCCGGCTCATCATTGTAACCTGTAGATAGTTTGACAATTGATACGTCAGACTTCTAAGAGCTCTTAAATAACTAGATGGAGTAGAAAGAGGAAAAACTTCTCATTTAAACGATGTACTAAAAAGAGTAAAACTAAAATGAGTAAAATAACAATCTAAGAACCTCATAGACATAAGTAAAATTAAACCAGAAAATCTAAAAACAAAAAATTCTAACTATTAATAAAAATGATAATAGTATCTCAATGATAAAACATCACCTGTGCTGGCAAAATGAGTCACAATGAGCACATTTTCAAAAATTAGTTATTTTATTTTCTCCATTAAAAGACCTTCAAAATGATGTATGATTTGTTGGAATCGGACGAAAAATGACTGAAATACACCCGTTTAAAGTCGAGTCAGCAAAGTTAGTTTTGAGAAAAATCGAGTTTAAGTTTTCTGAAGGTTCCAAAGTAAAATCACCTAGCAACATTGATACTTTACCTCCAGTTCTTTTCTTAATAATAATTACTATATTAGTAAGCACAATATAGCTATTTTTTATTTTATCTTTGTTATTATAAAAACACCTGCAAAAAATAAACACAGTAGAATATAAGAAACAAATAATGCATTGCCTTTTTCATTTTACATTTAAACAAAAACATTCAAGAAAACAATGTAAAAATCCCTTTATTGTATTCGTTACAAATAAATTGATTATTAAAACTACAAAAGCAATTCAATCAAGAGCAGTGAATGATTCCCTCTTTTCTTTTCAGATTAACATTAATGAGACAGACGGCCTATATATTAAGACCTACTGTAATGCACAGATCTAATATAATGTTACACATCAGATGTTTTTCATCAAATGTTCACGAATACTTGTGCATGAATACTTAAATACTGTAATTCTGTGTATATTTATCGGGATCGCACGCGGCTGGAAGTGCCTTTATGCATGTGCTTCGGATGAGAGTCAGCGTACTCCTCTCAGAAAATGTAATCCATGGCTAGATGAGGGCTTAATGAATTCATTTTTGAGAAAACCCCAAATTCGACTAAAATTTTAAACTTTTTTTTGCCTGTAGCTTAAAATTAGCCTGTGCGCATTCCGACTCATTTTGCCAGCACGGGTCACAAATAATAAAATAACACTGATTCACTAATTTAACTTCACATTCACTTTAACTACAGTATTTTCTGTCAAACTTTGAGAGTATGTGATAAGTATGTGTTGAGTAAACATACCATCATGGTATGACTCAAATGATGAATTCTCATGTTGAGTGTCAAAACTGGCCTCTAGCTCCTTGATTTCATATGTACTTTGAGTGTAACACTGACTTCCCTCAAACCTTAAGAGTGAATGTCAACATCATGAATGTCAAAATAATACAATCTCAACAATGTCAACTTCATTAACATTAATAAGTTAACTTCTGTTGCCAGCAGAAAACCCATATACTTCTTGGCAGCAGGAAGTGTGTCTTTGGGTTTGTATGAGAACTGCTGCATGCTTACAGATGCTGTCCCATTATTCATCCTCATCTACAGGGAAAGTCAAGAAAACAGGACTGAGACTATGACATACACAATACAACATATCTTGCAAAAATAAATTCTAGCCATTCAAATGGACTATTCCTTGACTATAATGGATCATATTTTTTGAGTTATGTACATATATCCCTTGACAGTCAGAATTCTGACCTTTAAACGTTTCACAGGAGTCTCACAGAGTCTCTCATTCCTCATTTTTAGATTGCTGAGGTACGAGGTGAAATTTGACTGACTTACAGACCTTTTCATCACTCCAATTTTGCCTACAAGAGAAACTAGATGACTCAAGCAGCACAAATAATGACATTATGGTGTAGGACAGGGTTCCTCAATTAGTTTTCATGAGGGCCAAATTCTGCCAACAATACCAAGGGCCACCGACCAGGACTAAAACATTTGCTATTATTATTGTTGTTGTTTTTATTGTTGTTAAAAGAGTCACAAGATAAATATTCAGATCTTTTCCCCCAGTAGTCAAACAATTCCCTAATTATTCAAACAATTATGAAAATTTTTGTATTCAGATACAGAAAACTAAAGAACTTTGCCTGTTGAATATTAAAAATAAATGAACAAACAAAAAATCTGGAAGTCCATTTCTGCCATACAAGTCAACTGTTCCTGCTCATCTGGATCTCTTCTCTCCACTTTCCCTAATTGCAGATTCAATTATTAGAACTGTCAGCATTAATATTTTTATACTTACATTTTTTGGGGGGATCAAACTATAACACCGTGTCCCAACCATACGTGACACGACGCCATAAGAGGTAGCTACTTTTCCATGTAGTTTTTGTTCTAACCCACCGCAACAGTGACACGCGATAAGCGACAGGGAATTTCGAAACGGTTGCTATTTACTATATTACTAGTTACTGTCAACTATGACAATGATAATCTCAGGTAATGATTCTGTGCTTTATTCAGTGTAATGAGTAGGGCTGGGTCCCGATTCGATCCTCGATTTTTTTTTATTACATTCAGTGAATATAGATTTAATACAAATGCTACTGATATTTCTAAAAAATGAACAGTAAACATCAGTTTACAAATGGTGAATTAATAAAAAGAAATTAAGAACCACATGCCTGTATTTTAAACCTATTCTTTTTTTTTGTATAGGGTCCTTTTTTAATCAATAATAGGGCCTTACAAAATGTTTTAAATTTTTCTGGTAATCAGATGAAGGCATAAAACATTCATTTAATTTATCCTAATCAAATGAAAATTAAACCCTTTTATTTTTTGCCAAACAAAGTGCTGCACAACAGAGGTTTACTGTTAAAATTAAAAAGAAAACAGATGTGATTATTCCTTTAAAAATAAAGATTTATTAATATTTATTAGCAGTAGTAGCATTGAGTCTTAAGACTGCTAAATAGTAATATATTCTGACAGTGCCCACAGAGCTCCTTGTTTTTGCAAACATGATGGCACTGTCTCTTAACTATATTCAGAGCCACTGGATCTATAAAGAAAATGACTATATTAAGTTAAATATAGTCTTTATAAATATCCAAAAAATTAAGCTGTGGTGTTTGAGCCAAAAATATTGTATACTTTATATATACAGCAGATGTTTCAGCAGATTTATCAGAGCATCTGGTATTAATATTTATCTTGGGGGAGAACCAAAATATGTGTCTCACCTGCCCGCTTGTAATTTAATCACCCAAGATGGATGTTTCAAGTCTAGTTTAAATGTATTGTACTTCTATCTGAATCTGATCATATTGTGATCATGTTGTCAAGGAGTCTGACCTCTGTTTGACGGAGCTGGAGTTGTCAGTGTAGTGTCTTGTGTCTTCTCCATCTTGTAAATCCTCTGCACTCTCCATGTAGGGTTCTCTCTAATGCAGGACTCAGCTCCAAATCTTTTCACTCCTGAGTAGTAGACTCTGTACTTCTGCTGAACGTCCAGTCCCACTAAACAAAGAACGATCATTAATTAATCTAAAATATTACTAGATATTACTAGAGCACTCTAAATGAAAATGTTTATGCCAGACAAATATTTAAAATTTTATTGAATGACACTATCTGAACATCCAAAAAGCCATTATGGCTAGTTTAATTACTGCCAGACATGGGCTATGTGACCACTGACCGTATTCAGAGCTGATCAAATGAACGCTTAACTCCTCTCCCTTAGGTGCTCTTGTCACCTCGATTCTCTTTGACCAGCTCCCAGATTTCGAGAGCAACGTGTTCCTTGAGAAAAAAATGATGCATCTCTTTCATTTATTCATATTTTAAGGAAAATGAACTTGCCTTTGATTATTCAATCACATAGATCTTACAGGATTTTCTGCTGGAAAACTACATTATTGTCACAGTCTCCAATAATGAGAGTGACATAATGGTGGTCTGGTGCTGTCTGTTTCGATACCAACTCCTGGAAATTCATCAAGTTCACTGTGACAGAAATCTCAGCTGTGGAGAGACTGTATCGTGGAATCTAGGAAAATATATGATTAAATACAATTATATAAGAAATAGTAAAATTATGATGGCTCAAACTGCAGTTTTTCTTATCATCTTTAATATTTTGAGATTAAGATGTTTGTGATGTTTACGCAAAAATATGTATTCTAGGTCCTGTAATAGGTTGCAATTTTCAACAAGTTTTTATTTATTATAATTCAAGTAATTATTTATTTTAATTACTCTTCACTAGTTAACTGTAGACGGTCCTGCAGAAAATTTTAAAAGTACAAATTTCTCATGTAGTCTAGTCTATCATAAAAACTGCATTAATAATAATTATATATATATATATATATATACACACACAGTGGGTACAGAAAGTATTCAGACCCCCTTAAATTTT